CTTCCAGCTTTTAAGAAGTACCTGCAAGAAACCTACTCGAAGCAGGTCTCCAGCCAGGAGCCCTGACCAGTGTTGTCCAGCTCTCTGTGTTGATTTCTCCTTAGGTAGCCTGTCCTCTTCTTGGTTTCTGTATAGGACTATGTATCTTGAGCTGTGGTATTATTTTTGTTTTGTTTCTGTCTTTTAAATTAAGTGTGGTTGAGCCCCTGCAATGTATATTAAATAAATACATTTTGGTTGGTTTTTGTAAAGTTGCTGCCTTGCAATTACCCTTGGGTTGGAGGTGCTCGGAGCAGGCAGAGGTCTGGCTTAACAYAGGGACTCTTGCCCCGTTACAGGGGTTGAAGCAGCTGACAGGCTGAGGGGCAATTTGTGACCTTCGTTATTTTACCACTGTTCATTCATCTATAAAATATGTCACAATAATGCCTGTTGGCTGGGGGTGTAGCTTGGTGGTAAAGTGCCTGCTTTAGCAGGGACAAGGCCCTGGCTTCAATTCCCCAGCACCAAAATAGCCATGGCAGGCACCAGGAACRTCGGCATTGGGGTGGCCCAACTGTGTTGATGAGGCAAACCAGGCCTTAGACTGAAGGGTACACCTGTCTGTGCCCTCAGAGAGGGGAGGGCCTGCCACCCACTCAGTGACAGCTGTCATGGCCCTGAAGAATAAAACTCAGGTTACCCTACAGCAAGTGCAGAGTCTGGGGAGACCACCAGGGAACGCCCTCCCGCTGTGGGAATCCCCAGGTCCCCATGGAAAGCTCCAGAGGGCACATTCACTTCCTGCTCCATCTCCACTAGCAGCTCCTCCATCTGCTGTACCCAGGTCCCCAACCGTTTAGGTTACCTTTCCTCTGACCCATATCAGGATCTGGCCTTGAGACCCCTGGAAGGAAATGTCTGCAGACCTGCTGGGTCCCTGCAGGGGCAGGCCCTGGGAAGAGCAGCCTSAGGTGATGGGCCCAGCCCAGGTCCTGCAGGAAGAACTGCAAGGTAGACTGAGCATCCCAGTTGCTCCAACCCGCCTGGGTCTCTGCCTCAGCACCCAGCCTGGTGCCTGTCGCGATGATTTTCACCCACCTCTTAGACTCCTGTTGGCCAGGGTCTTTCTTTGCCCTGTGTTCCCCATCAAGCAAGGTAAAAGGAATTGAAGTTGTCGGGTCTGGGGTAAGAACTTGAGTGTCCTCTGTCTGAAACTGTGTTCAGTTCTCTCTTATGCATAGAGCTTTCTCAATTTAACACACATAGAAACCTACCAAGGATCTTGTTAAAATGCAAATTTTGGGGCTGCGGTTCAGTGGTAGATCACTTGCCTAGCACATGTGAGGCACTGGATTCGATTCTCAGCACCACATAAAAATAGTTTCATTCACAGATTTTTTTTTTTTTTTTTTTTTTTAAGTGGTAGGGTTGCCTTTTGATGTGTGGTTCTTCCAGGAGCAAGGGCACCCCCCTGGAACTTGTTAGAAGAGCCAATTCTAGTTCCCAACAAGCTTTCCAGGTTCTGATGCTTTCAACTGTCAGTCACCCAGTTAGAGGATGCCTGGGAAAGCAAAGCTCAGAACCTGGTGCTAAGCTGGTTCTAATTAAAAGCTGAGGTGGTGGTGCAGGCCTGTAATCGAGCACCACAGGAAGCTGAGGCAGGCGGATGGAAAGCTTGAGGCCAGCCTCTGAAGCTTAGGCAACTTAGTGAGACCCCATCTCAAAAAGGATTGGGGTTTATAGGTCAGTGGTTAAGCACCCCTGGGTTCAAGCCACGGTAACCTTTCCCACCTCAAAAAAAAAAAAAAAAATGGTGGCGCACACCTAGAATTCCAGCAGCTTGGAAAGTGAGGCAGGAGGATCACAGTTCAAAGCCAGCCTCAGCAAATGCAAGGCCCTGAGCAGCTCAGTGAGACCCTGTCTCTAAGTAAAATAGAAAATAGGGCTGGGGATGTGGCTCAGTGGTCAAGTGCCCCTGGGTTCAATCCCTGGTACAAAAAAAAAAAAAAACCTGAGATATACCTATTTTTATCTGCCATGGAGAAGCATCAAAATGGGGTCCTTGATCATCGTGTTTGACCATCTAGATGGCCACTTGGCCTACTCTGTGTCCGTCACTAGGATCCAGCACTAAACTAGTTAAGAATCAATCACGTTTTCTGGAATTAATCACCAAGAAAGAGCAAAATCTATTTAGTGGAATTTCTAAAAGAGGAAGGAGTCAAGTCTCAGCTGCTGGTGAAGACATACAATCGAAGAAAACCAACAAAACCAAATAGATGAATTGGAGACAGATATTTCCAGTCGGTGGCTTGGCACACCAGTTCCATGAAACGTGCCATTTTGCTTAGATTTCTGACACAACAAAAAGAACTCTGAGCAGTGTATCCCTATAATCTCAGAGACTCTGAAGGCTGAGGCAAGAGGATGGCAAATTCAAGGCCAGCCTCAGCAAATTATCTCAGTGGTAAAGCATTCCTGGGTTCAATCCTTAGCGTATGGGGGGGGGGGGGCACGTGCATACCCACCCCCCCACACACACACATATGTATGTATATTCCAGGAAATACCAGATGGTATGATATTRTTCCCACTCATGCAACATAATTGAAAGCCATGAGAGATGTGAAAAGCCCATTTCTCAGCAAGCACTTTAGGGGTATGGAGTGAAGGGGAGGAATCCAGGCTGCAGAGGTAGCTGGATGTCAGGTCTCCCAAGGATCTGAAAGGTCATATGAAGCTAACAAGCCTGGGTTTGATCCCAGTACTAAAAAAGAAAAAAAAAGGGGGGGGGGGGGACTTTGAGCGTTTTTTGTGAGAACAACAGGAAGCTAACAACCTGTAAACAGGGCGGCAACTGGATGAGACTGGTGTTTAGAAAATCCTGATGGAGGGCTGGGGATGTGTAGCCCAGCACTGCCAAAAAAAGAAACAGAAAGACGCTGCTGGCTGCCCTCTGGGGAGCAAACCACAGGAAAGAGCCAGGCGAGCTAAGGCAAGCTAGTTATGCTGCCAAGTGGGCCTGAGAGGACAAAGCAGCAGGGCTGGCCAGACGCAGTCGCACATGCTGGGACTCTGGAGGCTGAGGTGAAGGGTCCTGAGTTCAAGGCCAGCCTCAACAAGTTAGCAAGGCCTTAAGCAACTTAGACTCTGTCTCTAAAAATAAATAAAATGTAAAAGAGGGAGTTTGGGATGTAGCTCATGGCAAAGCACCCCCAATTTCAATCCCAACACCAAAAAAAAAAAAAAAAGGAAGTAATAGGGGTGGAGACTGAGTGCCAGAATTCTTCTCTTGGGCCCCATCCTCAGTATCAAGCCTGAGATGGGGAACACAGGAGAACCAGACAGAGGGGAGTAGGATTCATCCATTTCAGGCATGGATTTAATTTCCTCAAATGTAAAGTGGGAATAACAGCATCTGCCTCTAGGTGTGTTGTGTGGGTGAATGAGACAATGGCTATAAGGCAAGAGCACAGCCCAGAGTGGGCACTCAATAAATACTGATGGTTACCAAACCCCAGCACCAATTTCTGGCTGAAAATACAAGCTGGGAAATATATGAATAGAACAAAAACAAGAAATAAACAGGACAGGAATGGAGAAAGAGGGCTGTAGCAAAGAATATGGTAACAGTGGGGTTCAATTTCAAGAATGATGATGATGTCTAGCACATATATCATATATATACTTCTTACATATAATATTTGAGGGTTTGTTATTTTTGTGTTTTGGTACTGGGGATTGAACTCAGGGGAGCTTGACCACTGAGCCACATCCCGTCATCTTTATGTTCAGACAGGTTCTTGCTAAGTTGCCAAGGTCGCCTGCAATCCTCCTGCCTCTGTCTCAGTGTGCGCCACTGAGTCTGGCTAGCATTTTTAAATATTTACTATGTACCAGGCACTATTCTAAGCACATTGCACACAAGAACTCCTTCTTAAAACCCTGTGAGATTAGCACTGATCACTATCCTCATTTACAGATGGGAAACAAGCAGAGTGGCTGAATTTGTCAAGGCAGTGAGGATTCAGACCCAGCCTGGCTCTACAGCTAAACTTCCTCTACACTTCATTAGCTATAAGGGGCACCTGCTGTGACTGAGTTGTTGACAAAGAGCTTGGGGAGCTATATCCTAGCCACCCAGGGCGGGGATCAAGTGCAGAGATGGTATCTTGTTGTGAGTTGAAGAATTTATAAGAAGGAGGAAAGCATTCTAAGGAGTCAGAACAGCATGTGCAAAGGCCAGGGGCCTGGAAATGTGCCCTGGTCCACAGGAATGAGCAGTGGGAAGGTTGTGAGGGAGAGGAGGGGAAGAATTGGGAGCTGGTTCTAGAAGTTATGGAAAGCCTTGGAGCGTTTCAGAGGGGGAGTGGCCAGGGCAGATTCCATTTTTGCTCCATTATGCTATTGGCCTCTATGGAGTGCTGTGGAGGGGGCTGAAGGCAGGGAGCTGGAGGCAGACCGAGATAGGGGTCCCGGGTCGAGATGATGGGCTCAACCTCTTCTGAGCTCTGCACCCTCCCCTACAGCAAGACACCTAGGAAGCTTGGAAAGTCGTTCAAGCAGCAGTAATGCTGGCTGAGATGGATGGACACCGCGACCCTCCTCAGCCGGATGGCCCAGAAGGAGGCAAGTCGGACACCCCAGACCCAAAGGTTCCAGAAAAGAAGGACAGTGGAGAAGTGAAGAGACTTCACCCCTCTCCCCTGGAGCGCACCTTCATCCTACCCGCCGTCCTGGGCGCCCTTCTGGGGCCACGGACTCCCCTGGACTCAGTTCCAAGTCCCTGCGGTCTCCCCTCCCCTGCCAGGTGCAACCGCTGGCCCAGTGCCCGCGGCCCGGAGCCGGCGGCTACCCCGCAGGGCCACCCCGCAGAGCGCACCCCAAGCCCCCGGGCCGCGCGGCCGCCTGGGTCCCCCACGGCCGCGGGTCCCCCACTGCTGTGCAGCATCCCACCCAGGCCCGAGAGCCGCAGTCCCAGTCCACCCGCGTCACTCAAGTCACGAGCTGAGCTTTGCAACTTGTGCTTTTATTCCCTCCCGACGCAGCCAGAAGGGCCGCGCCTCCGGGTGGGGCAGGGACGACCGGTGGGATGGCGCGGCCCGCGCCCGAGGGACGCGCGGTCTCGGGGAGGCGACGGCCGGCTCCTTACTGCACACCCTCCATCATCTTCAGGAACTCTGCGGGAGGGGAGGAAGGGGGTCAGGGTCCCGCTCGGCAGCAGAGGGGCCACCCGGCCGCCCAGGCACCGGACCAGCCCCGCCCAGCCCACCCACGAGGCCGGGGCACCCGCGTGAGAGCCATCCGCACTGGCACCGCGCCCCAAAGCTCCAGGGGCCCCTGGCCTCACCGTCGAAGTCGATGCGGCCGTCGTTGTTCTTGTCCCCGTCTTTCATCAAGGAGTCGATCTCCTCGTCCGTCACGTGCTCCCCGGAGGCCCGGAAGATCTCGGCCAGCTCCTCGGCGTCGATGTAGCCGTCCGCGTTCCTGCGAGGGCACAGGGCGCAGGGCGGGGTCACCTCGGCCACCCGACCCCCGGCCCCCACCCGGGGCCCCCCGGCGAGCCGCCAGGCCCCGCGCACCGGTCGAAGATGCGGAAGCACTCGGCCAGCTCCTCCTCGCTCTTGCCCTTGGCGTCCTCCTTCATCTGGCGCACCATCATGACCAAGAACTCCTCGAAGTCGATCGTGCCGCTGCCTGGGGAGCGGGGAGCAGGAGCTCAGCCCCAGCCGCCGCCCGCGCTCCCCGCCACCCGCCGCCCGCCGAGGGCCCCCGCCTACCGTCCTCGTCCACCTCCTCGATGATGGCGTCCAGCTCCTCTTTGGTGGGTGTCTGGCCCAGCATCCTCATGACGGTGCCCAGCTCTTTGACGCTGATGTCCCCGCCACCATCAGCATCAAACATGTCAAAGGCAGCCTTGAACTCTGCCGGGGGAAGGAGAATGGGGGGCTGAGGCGAGGCTGACCCTGCCCAGAGGCCAAAACGTTCCCCAACACACCCGCCGCCCCCTGGCGACAGCTGCCCACCCACTCACCAGCGATCATCTCCTCGCTGAGGTAGGACCGGGCCTCCGCCTGCTGGTCCGTCTGCGGAAGACAGAGCAGGTTCTCCCCTGAGCCCCATTCTCCTCGACCTCCACTTTTTAAATTTTTATGTTGTGTGTGGGGGCAGTACTGGGGATTGAACCCCGGGGCTTTCTACCACGGAGCCACAACCCCAGCCCTTTTTATTTATTTATTTATTTATTTATTTTTTGAGACAGGGCCCCCCTAAATTGCTGAAGCTGGCCTCAAAATTGCAATCCTCCTGCCTCAGCCTCCTGAGTTTTGAGGATGGGCCACTGAGCGCAGCCTCCATCCCCATTTCTGTAGGGAAGTGCCCCTGAGTCCTCCTAAAGACCAACTTGGCACACACTTCCTGGGATTTCTCCAAGACACCTGGGTTCCAGGAAACTTCACGTTTTATCTTCTGACACCCACTAACTGCCCCTCAGTGCACCCAGATCAGGCTGAAGGAGACCCAGAGTTTCCTAGCAGCACATTCTGTGCTAAGGACAAGGGAAAAAAAAAACAAAAAACACCAAGGTCTTTCCACTTGTCCATTGGAGGCCAGGTCAGGAACCCCCAATGACCTTGGGCAAGTCACTTTGCATACCTTCGTCTCCAGTGACTTTGGGGAGTAAGGTGAAATCAGGAGTGATGAAGGGCTTGGTATCCTGTCAGCCCACTCTAACATGATCTTCCAGCCTCCCCCTGTCCCCTAATGGTGGCTTGTACTTTAGTAGTTGCTCAAAAAACATTTGTTCTCAAATAAATAATAACGCAACACAGCTATTGAGCACCTGCTAAGCGTTAGGCCTCAGACCAGACACTGAGACCACCAAGAAGAGATGGACACACAGTCTCTCCCCTCAGGGAATTTGCAGACGGGGAAATTTTAGGTTTCCTTCTCCTACCTCAGTCATTGGAGTGAATGCCTCTCACACTGGGCAAAAYGTTATGAGGCTTTGGTGTGAAAATATACTTTCTGTGGGGACCTCCCGGGTCAGGGGCTTTGGGCTGAGGTTGGTGGTGAAGAACCACTGAGGTATCCAAGGAGTTCTTTGGCCAGCTGGTCCTGGCCCCTCCTTCTCCCCCGCCCCTGCCTTCTCCCCTCGCTGGTCCCTGCCAGGAAGACAGGCTATTTTTAGGTGGTCTGGGCACAGCAGCTGGCCTCTGGGGTCTAGTTACTCCTTGAAGCCAAGCAGGGAGAGGACCTCAGAGGAAAATGACAACCCAAATCAAGACCCCTTCTGGGAGGACGGGGTCTCTCTAGTCTGTCACCTTTTGCTTCTTCTGATCATGCTCAGGACCCTGGGAGCCCTGAGACTCGGAGACCACCAAGAAGAGGTGGACACATTGTCCCTCCCCTCAGAGAACTCGCAGACATGGGGATCTTGAGCTTCCTTCCTGCCGTTCAGTCATTGGAGTAAACACCTCTCAGCCAGCCAGCCCCAGACCCTGTGGCCGTCCATCCTCCAGAGGACAGGAGGGTTTGGCTGGGCTTCGAAAGCCCAGCCCTGCCACGGGGCCACGGGCCAACTCACTGTGGCCCTCAGGGTCCGAATCTCCACTCTGAAGGAGACAAGCAAAGACCCCTCCTAGCTCCACAAATGCTGGAAGGCTCAGAAGGTGGGCAGGGGATCTAGGCCCTGAGGATCCGACCCTGGACCATCCCAGCCCTCCTCATCCACGAAAAGTCAAAGGCCTTTTCCTGGGATGTCTCCAAGACACCTGGGCTCCAGGAAACTTCATGTTCTACCTTCCAACACCCCTAACTGCCCCTCAGTGCACCCAGATCAGGCTGAACGAGACCCAGAGACTTCTAGCAAGCCAAGGAAGGAAGTCCCTTCTTGTCCTTACCATGGTTGCTGGTCACTGGGACTCCTCTGCTGTGGGTCACCTCCTCTCCACTCCACCGCCCAAAGATGCTCTGGCCCACTCCAGCCCCCAGGATTTGTAGGGGCACCCTCTCCTCCCACCTCCCTGCTCCCCAGGACTGGATATCTTGCCCAATCAGATCCTGGGGTCACCAAGCCCCACCCCTCCCAGAGTCCTAGCCCATTACCTAATTTAGCCAAGGTCCCTTGCAGAGAAATTTAAGCCTCTGAGCAGGTGGCAGGCCTTGACGTCGTCCTAGATTCTTCTGAGGAGGGCGCGCCCTGCTCCACTACCTCAGAGCGCCCCTCCTCCAGAAGCACACTGGCTTGGAGATGGTAAGGATGGCAGAACAGTGACAAGGAGGCAGCACGGTGGGATGGGAAGAGCACACAGCTTGAAGTTCAAGGTTCRAGTCCCAGGCCTGCCTCTGCGAGCKRCCTGACCTTGGGTGATGACCCTCTGAGCCTCCTTTCCTCATGGTTCCTCATAAAGAGACCATGGCCTCTGGGAGTGGTGGCACACACTGTCATCCCAGCCGCTCAGGAGGCTGAGGCAGGAGGATCACCAGTTCAAAGCCAGCCTCAGCCACTTAGCAAGGCCCTAAGCAACTCAGGATACTCTGTCTCTTAAAAAACAAAAAAAAAGAATATAAAAACGGATGGAAATTTGACTCAGTGATTAAGTGCCCCTGGGTTCAATCCCTGGTACAAAAAAAAAAAAAAAAAAAAAGAGTATGGCAAATGGGAGTCCAGGTATAAGTCACCTACTGGTGCCAGGTCCATAGGGCCGGTGTTTAGCAAGTGAAAGATCATACCTTTGAACCCTGGTAAGTGCTAGGGGACATGGTAGTGGTTAAGAGGAGAGTGATGGGGAGGCTACCGTTGATTGAACTTCACCCCAGGACACACMCTGTACTAAGCATTTTAACCACATGACCTCATCCTATGAGGTGGCAGCTATTACAATCCCCATGTGCCTGGAGGACTGTGTAAGTCATAGTAAATCATAAAGATCTACAATAAAGATGACGAGTTTTCTTTCTTTTTAAGTCTTTCTTTGAGACGGAGCCTCTGTTTATCCAGCTGGCCTAGAGCTCCTGGGCTCAAGCGATCCTCCTGCCTCAGCCCCCCCCCCCCAGTAGCTAGGAGCACAGTCATATGGGTGCACCTGGATTTGGCAATTCTCATTAAACCTGACTGGGAAGAAGGCGGGACAGTCCTCAGGGACCCTTCAGAGGGAGGAGGATCCAGAGGGCTAAAGGAGAAGGGGTCTGCTTTTGGAGAAAGAAGCATTGAAAACAAAGATTCTTCTCTCAAGTTACCTCTCTCCAGGGAAAGGGGATTTGAGATTCACTTTGGGGGAGGTAGAAGAAAGTGCTCTAAGTGGTAAAGGGAGAGCTGGCCCCTTCCTAGAGCTCAGAAGAAAGTGGAGGAGCTCAGGTAGCCCTCTGGAGAAGAGGGGGTGGGGGATCTAGTCCAAAGGAAGCCACCCTGAGAACCCTTAGGTCCATGCTAGGGCGGGCGGGGTAAAAAGCAAGGCTCCCAGAAGTGGCAGAGTCAACAGGAGGAGCACTGGACACCAAGATCAGGGACAGGCCAGGAAAGRGAGACTGGACACAGGGGAAGTCAGATGGACAGTGGCAACTGGGCTGCCCCCGCCCCTATATATAGACATTCCCAAGAAAAGCTGGAGGAGCGAGCCAGGCTAAATAAGGCCTCCCGCCAGGCGGGGCCAAGGACTGCTACTCGGGATTCCAATTTGGACAAGAAACACTGGAACCACTCGATTCCTTTGGAACAGAAGGTCTGGAACCCTCCTCAGTCACTATTCATTAATTTATTCTTAGGTTTACTCAGAGAAATAGATAAGGATCAAACTCCTTAGTGTGACCGAGCAAGGTCCCACTCACTGTCTCTCCAATCTTCCTCTTTCTCTCCTCCCTCAGTTGCAGGTTGCTCTCCTCTAGTCAGACTTAAACATGGCCGTGAACACCACCTTTTATGAGCCCCAGGGCCTTTGCATATGATGCCAGAAATGCCCATCTTTCCTCTCTTCACCTGCCTGCTTACCTGTCATCTTTCTGGGTTTTAAAATCTTCTAGTGGGCATGGTAGCACATGACCTCATCCTATGAGGTGGCAGCTCATAATCCCAGCAACTCAGGGGGTTGATGCAGGAGTATCACTCTTTAGCAAGACCTTGAGCAACTTTAGCAAGAGCTTGTCTCAAAATGAAAAATTTTAAAAAGGGCTGGGATATAGCTCAGTGATAAAGTCCCCCTGGGTTCAATCCCCAGGCCCAGAAAAAAAATTACTTCCTCCAGGATTCCCCTTCCCTACACCCAGCCTGGAGGTCCAAGGTGGTCTCCAGTAGTTCCCTTAATCAGAGCACTGAACATGCCTTAGAATCTGTTTAGTCCAATTTTTGTGGGGAAGGGGGTACCAGGGATTGAACTCAGGGGCACTCAACCTCTGAGCCACCTCCCCAGCCCTATTTTGTATTTTATTGAGAGACAGGGTCTCAATGAGTTGCTTAGCGCCTTGCCATGGCTGAGGCTGGCTTTGAACTCGTGATCCTCCCGCCTTAGCTTCACGTGTGCCACTGTGCCCTGCTATTTTAGTCAGCTTTTATGTTGCTGTGACCAAAGATCTGACAAGAGCAACATGGAGGAGGAAAAGTTTATTTGGGGCTCACAGTTTGAGCGGCCAACTCCATAGCTCTAGGCCCAAGAGAAGGCAGAACCTCATGGCAGAAGGGAATGGCTAGGGGAGGCAGTCACTGCGGGTGTGCCTTTCTGGGTTTGAATTTTGTCCTTGTGAGCAGAGCTTCCTGGTGGCCATGTTTGGGCTTTCCTCCTCCACACTCTTTCACCATGACCTTCTGCCTCACCTCAGACCCAGGGCAATGGACTTCACGATTATGGATGAGATCTCTGAAACCCTGAGCACCAAGTGAACTTCTCCTCCTCTGAAATTGTTGCCAGGCTTTTTTGTTTTTGTTTTGTTTTGTTGTACCAGGGATTGAGCGCAGGGGTGCTTAACCACTGAGCCACATCCCCARCCCTTTTTATTTTTTATTTCCAGACAGGGCCTCACTAAATTGTTAAGGCTGGCTTTGAATTTGTGATCCTCCTGCCTCAGCCTCTTGAGCCACTGGGATTACAGGTATGTACCACAGCACCTGGCTTGTGTCAGGTCTTTTGGTCACAGCATCAAAAACATTGACTTCATCAGGATCACAACCGATTCTGAGTTCCATGGGCCAGAGAAAATTTCTTATTCAACATCAAATCTCACCAGGCACAGTGGCACACACCTATAATTCTGGCAGCTCGGGAGGCTGAGGCAGGAGGCTTGTAGGTTCAAAGTCAGCCTCAGCAATTTAGCAAGGCCATAAACAACTCAGTGAGACTCTGTCTTAAAATAAAAAATTAAAAGGGCTGGGGATATGGCTCAGTGGGTAAGTGCCCTGGGTTCAATACCCAGTACAAAAAAAAAAACCTCCCAGGACCTAAGACAGACATGGTGGTGAACTCCTGTAATCCCAGCTATTAGAGAGGCTGAGGCAAGAGGACCATAACTTCAAGACCAGCCTGGACAATTTAGCAAGACCCTATCTCAAAATAAAGTTCAAAAAGAAAAGAAGAGGGATGGGGTGTAGCTCAGTGGTAGAGCACTTAGCTAGCAGGCAGAAGGCCCTAGCTTCAATCTCCAATACTGAAAAAGGAAAAAATTCAGCACAAGAAGCACGCGGAGGCAAGTGTAGAGTGGAAAGTAGAAGCTTTATTAAAGGACAGCAGCAAAGACTTCTCCCAGAGGAAGAAGGAGACGGAAAGGCGGAATCCATGGAAGGGGAGGTCCTCCCTCTTTTACAGCTAAGGTCTCCTGTTAGTCCTCCCATACTCCTGACCTGTTTCCCTCCCTCCGACCTGCAGTGATGGGATGAGGTGGGAAGGCAGAGGTGGAGACAGTGGGCGGGAGGAGTCTCCAGGCAGGAAGGCTTGGGGTTGGGAGCTGTTTCATCAGCAGTTCCTTAGGATGGGGTGGGTTCTGGCCCTTGGGGACATTAACATTTCAATGTCCCCAAGTACTGCTCTGGTTTCCTGGACTTCATTTTCAATAATGGCCTCCATTTTCTTTATCTTACTGGATATTAGACCTGATTTACCCAACTACACTAACCACCTATCTTTAAATCTGGCTTCACCTGCAGCGAGTACTGAGCAGGGTTTAATACTGTATTCTGTATAAGAATAACTGAACAGTTGAACCATGAACCCAAACCCACTATTACACATAGCTGTAATGCACTAATAAAAGCATTAAAAAAAAAAAAAAAGAGTAGGGCTGGGGATATAGCTCACTGGTAGAGTGCTCACATCACATGCACAAGGCCATGGGTTCAATCCCAGCACCACAGGAAAAAAAAAAAAAAACTTGAACTGAATGTCATTTGATTCTTTAGAAGGAGGAACTTCCTAACYGTCATGGCTGAACCATAACAGGAACGGTTGGCTTCAAGAGGTAATGTCAATGAGTGTGTACAAGTGGGAGACGAATACCCATCTCTTTGGGAGGCTGAGGGGAAAGGCCACTCAGAATCTAAATGGTGGAGACGTCCAGAGAGCTCCTTGTTCTGACCTGTTTATATAATGAAGCATAAGTCCCTTCCCCTCACTAAGCCTTAGTCGATCCACCTGTCCATGGAAGGGACAGGACAGATTTCTGAAGGGCCCTCCTGCTCTGATACCTTGAGTTTATGAGCACCAGTTTTTCAGCCAGACTTGAGAGACATATGCCAAGGACAAGTTGATATTCAGCCACAGTTGATGAGTGAGTGAGGGTTGAGTGAGTAAATGAAGTGCATCTTTTTTATCCCAACATCCTTCCTGCAAGCCAAAGGAAGAGGAATTAAATCTCTGAAATTATGGACTTGAACTTAAATCTCAGCTCCCGTATTTCCCAGAGGTGGATCTTGGGGAAGTGAATTTGCCTCAGTTTCTTCATCTTCAGAACCATGATTGCCCATCCCACCTCCCCAGGATGTTGTGAGGGTGAGACATGAAAGTATGCAAAGAACCTAGAACTGGATGTAGAACACAGTGGAACTGAAAGATGAGAACCTTCCGCTTTATGGAGGCCAGGGAGGGCGGTTCTCATTCAAAAGTATTTCCCCAACCCTCTCTCCTGTGTCACTCAAATATGGGAGGTGCTGCCAAAGAGATTTTGTTTTATTGTGTAACTAGCAAAATCTGCCCTGCTAGGGACTCATATTTAGGTCTTCTGAAAGGAAACAAGAAGAAATTTTTCTTGACCTACAGGTTTCCCTGCAGTGAAAGATAAACCACAGAGCTCCAGAGAAGCTGCTGAGGTTACCAGGATCAATGCCTGGGAAAAGAGCAATGTGCAGGAACCTCCAGGAAGCTGTGTGATCTTGGACAAGCAACTCAGCCTCTCTGGCTGTTTCCCAGCGTGCCTACTTCTCGTGTGTGAGGCTCAAATGACATCGTGAAAATCTGTGAACACTGCAGAAACAATGATCATTGTGTAATTGCCGTGTAAAATCGGGAGCTGGGAGTGTGGCTCAGTGGTGGACTGCTTGCCTGCTATGCACAAGGTCCTGGGCTCAATCTCCRGAGCCTACACAGTAACAAACAATAAGCCAAAACTAGAACATGCTTCTTATTGTTCCCGTTCTACGTAAGAAAYTTCAGGCTCTATGAGGTCATGGCTTAGTGACGTTAGAGCCAACCCAAGGCTTTGATTTTTTTCACCAGAGAAATGGGATCCCTTAAATCGCATAATCACATTGTAAAATTAACGAGTGCCAGATGCCCTGCGCTGTGATCCAAGTTACTCGTGAGGCTGAGGCCCAGGCAGCAGGGTCCAAGTTCAAGGTCAGCCTGGGCAGTTTGGCGAGACCCATCTCCAAGTTTTAAAACAGGTAAATAAACAGGGCTGGGGTGCAGGCCGGTGGTAGARCCCCGGGGTCGGGTCATCCCCAGTCCCGGGCCGGAGAAGCCCGGGGGGAACTGGGGTGCCCTGGGGCTCTCCGGGGATTCCGGGGAGACGGGGCTCCGCCGCCGGCCCAGGACTCCCAGGTCTCCCGAGGACGGCGCCGGATTCCCGGGAGCCCGGGGAGCGGGCGGGGCCGAGGCGGGCGGCGGCAGGAAGCGGCCGCGGCCGGAGCCGCCGGGCAGGTCAGCCTGGCTCAGCCGCGGGCCGCGTCGGGACCCCTCGGAGAGGCGCCCGGGAGTTCACCCGAACGCGGGAGGCAGCGGCGCGTGACGGGGAGAAAGGGGCGGGACCAGGGCCCCGGACCCCGGGAGGGAGCGAGGGACCCCGGGGCTGGCGGCGCCCGCAGCGGCCGGGGCGGGGCCAACGCGGGCCCCTCCTCCTCCGGCCTGGGCCCCGCCCTTGCTCTCCCGCCGGGCGGGGGTCCTCCTCCCACCCCGCCCTGCACCCGGTGGCGCCCGCTCCCCCCAGGGTGCCATGGCCTCGCGGCTCCTGCACCGGCTGCGGCACGCCCTGGCCAGCGAGGGCCCCGGGGAGGCGGCGGCGGGCCCGGAGGCCGAGCAGTTCCCGGAGACCTCCGAGCTGGAGGACGACGACGCCGAGGGCCTGTCCTCCCGTCTCAGCGGCACCCTCAGCTTTACCAGCGCGGAGGACGACGAGGACGACGAGGACGAGGACGACGAGGAGGCCGGCCCCGACTCGCCGTCTCCCGGGGACAGAACACCGGGAGAAGGGCCAGGCAAGTGTGGGAGGCGGAGCCGGGAACGCTGGGGTGGCTGGGCCTCGGTCCGTCCGKCCGGCCGGCCGCGGAGAGCATCCCGGGCGCGGAGTTGAGCCAGCTGACACGCGACACTGCCTGCAGCGCCTCCGAGGTCTTAGCCCTGTGWCCTTGAGAGAGTCACCACCCCTGTGACCCAAGAATTCCCTTATGTCAAATGAGAGAGATCACTTCCATCTCAGGGTTTTCAAGCCTATTAAGYGCGCGGGACCTGGGATAGAGATGGAAATGATGTGCCAGCCATGTTTTGGGGATGTTGTCAGCCGGGCTTGGTGTTTGGTACCAGGTGCCTCTCTGACCCTCAGTTCTTTAAAAATGGGGAATAACGCCCACTTCACCTTGGATGAGTGAGGTCATGGCCTACCGTGTATGTTGACCTGAGGTCCTTTGATATGACTGGTCATGTGCTTGTGCAGAACGGTGCCCCCCACCCGATGGGCAGCGAGGCAGTCAATTCCTAGCCCCGGAGCTATAGGATTTCTGGAAGAAATCCCAATACACTCTGGTATCCCGGCAGCTGCTCTTTGAGGTGACCAGCGCCAATGTTGTCAAGGACCCGCCCTCCAAGTACGTGGTGAGTGAGGTTCCAGGAACACCTGGGCTGTGAGTCTGGGGAAAAGAAACCAGGGAAGATTCGAACTTGATGGAAGTTCTGGCTGTGTAGTTATAAATGGCTGCCCTATTTTACAGATGGGAAAACTGAGGCCAGAAAGGGGATGTGACTTTATGTGAGTTGAGCAAGTCTTCAGGCAAATGACTTAGTTTCTCTGAGACTGAGTAAAGTGGTAGATTAAGGACCTGCTTTCTGTCCCAGTTTTGAGACTTTGAGAACTGGTATGTGTGCTTCCACCTTTCCCCAAGGTTTTTGCAAACTGTGGCGAGACACAGACTGAGAGCCACAGGTTAGTGGTCAAGGAAAGGTGCTTTGGACCTAGGTCAGCCTTGATTCACATCTCACTTTTCATTACCAGCTGTCTGACCTTGGGTGGGCTGTGTGATTTTTGTCAACCCCCAGGTTTATCATCTGAGCAATGAGGATAATGCTGAGGATTAGACCAGGAGTTAAASGAGACAATGCAAAAAGAGCCCTTAACATTGTGCCTGGCATTATGAGGTGCTCAATAAAATGGTAGCTATTCAGGTTCCACATTACTTCAGAATCTGAAACTTTTGAGTGTCAACATGATGCTACAATTTAAATTCCACACCTGACAGTCAAAATACAGACACACTAAAATACTGAATAAAACCAGACTGAGGGCAAGGGTTATAGCTCTGTTGGTAGAGCGCTCGCCTAGCACATGTCTCTGGGTTCGATCCTCAGCACCACAAAAAAATAAAGATATTAAAAAAAAAAAAACAGACTGAGGGTGTATCTCAGTGATACAGCGCTTACCTAGCATGCTCAGGATACCCTAGGTTCAATTCCCAGCAACACACACACACACACACACACACACACACAGTATAAATAAATTTTGAACTTAAGTTTCATCCCCAAGATACCTCATTATGTATAGAAAGATTCTACAATCCAAAATCTGAAACACTTCTGGACCCAAGCATTTTGAATCAAGTCTTTTTTTTTTTTTTTTTTTTTTTTTAAAGAGAGAGTGAGAGAGGGAGAGAGAGAGAGAGAGAATTTTTAATATTTATTTTTTTTAGTTCTCGGCGGACACAACATCTTTGTTGGTATGTGGTGCTGAGGATCGAACCCGGGCCACACGCATGCCAGGCGAGCGCGCTACCGCTTGAGCCACATCCCCAGCCCCTTGAATCAAGTCTTATTTAACATTGGATTGGAAATGTCAGGCATCTAGGGCCTGCTGTGGCCCCCTCATAACTCAAGTGAATCTATTCCTGTGTGGAATAATCCTACTGTTCTGCATGGAATCCTGTGTGGAATAGGGGGTTCCGTAGGGGTGAGGGTGAAGAACAGCTGCAGAGAGGGCCTTGGTCTGTTTTCCTTGCTATGGAGGGAGAAACTGACATGCAGAATGAGGGCTGCCAGGTTCTGCTCCCCGTGGAGCCTGCAGCCCAGCGGGTGACTCTTCCCGACAGTGGCAGCTCCCTGCTTCTCACTCCGTCTTCACTACCCTCCTCTACCTCTGACTCAGCAGGAAGGGGGCCCAGAGCCTGTCCCACATTTGGGCCTCTCCACTCCTCTCTGTTGCTGTTACTAACAAAGGCCACACCCATGGGGTGGCTGTTCCAGTTTGAGCAGGGATTGACTCTGATGATCCAGCCTTTGTGTGTGCACACTGGAGACTGACCCCAGGTCCTTCTGCATGCCAAGTCTGTGCTCTACCACTGAGCTACCCTGCTGCCCCTGATGGTCCAATCTTAAGTGAAAAAGGTCCCAGAACTCTGGAGTGGGCAAGGGGTCATACACAGGAAAGGAATACCAAAGATCAGTCATCAAGGAGCACGCAGCTCAGAATAGGAAGGAATGGAGGTGACACTGGGTACCCAGATGGGAAGAAAATGACAAAAAAAAAAAAAAAAAAAAGTAGAATGGCAACTATTTTATCCCAGCTATGGAGAAGCAAGTCACCTCCTCTGTTCAATGGGCACCCTGAGTTTCCATATAACCTGTGGGGAGGGTGACAAGCAGGGGTTTTGGAATCCTATCAAATCCTATCCTGGGTTTGAATGCCAGCTAGGCCATTCGCCAGCTGTGGTACTTGGGGCAAGTCTTTGAGGCCTTTACCTCCTCTTTGAGCCTGCTTCTTTGCTGACAGAGATAAGGACACACCTTCCTTGGAATGCTGTTGTGATTAAATGAAATCATAGATGGAAAAGTGCTTGGTATAGTACGAGGCCCAGGGTAAGTGTTCAGTTAATGGAACTATATCATTATTCCCTGTGTTGGTGGGACATTACAAGGATTACATAAAATAATGAGTATTTTAAGCCAGCTGGGTGTCATAGTGCATGCCTGTAATGCAGTTGACTCAGGAGGCTAAGGCAGGAATATTGCAAGTTCAAGGCCATATTGTCACCTGAAAAAAGATCCTGACCTGAGAACTGCCTTTTAAAAATCAACCTGAAGCCTGGCACAGTAATCCCAGGGACTGAGGCTGAGGCAGGAGGATCAGAAGTTCAATACCAGACTCAGCAATTTAGCAAGACCTTTAATAACTTAGTGAGTCCCTGTCTCAAAAAATAAAAAGGGCTGGAGGGTGGGTAGCTCAGTGGTAGAGCCCCTGGATTCAATCCCCAGTACCAGAAAATAAATAAATAAACAAACAAATAAATAAATAAAACCCAAACTGAGAGCTTCTCAGTTTACAGTCAGATTTAAAAGGAAGTCAGGAGTGGTACCACACACCTGTAGTCCCAGTTACTCAAATGCCTGAGGCAAGAAGATTGCTTAAGCCCAGGAATTTGAGGCCAGCCTGGGCAACAAAGGGAGATGCTTTTCTCAGATAAAAAAGATGAAAAAGAAAATTAAAGAGAGGAATCACCTCCCATATCTGATGCAGTATACTCTAGTATACCATCTTTAAAAACTCATTTACTTGCCAGGTGCAGTGGCATACACCTAAAACCCCAGTGGCTCAGGAGGCTGAGGCAGGAGGATTGCAAGTTTGAGGCCAGCCTAAGCAATTTAGCAAGGCCCTAAGCAACTTAGTGAGACCCTGTCTCAAGAAATAAAAAGAGCTGAGGATGTAGCTCATTAGTAAAGCACCCCTGGATTCAATCCCCAGCACCAAAAATAAATAAATAAAGGGCTGGGGATGTAGTTCAGTGGGTAAAACACCTCTGGGTTCAATTCCCAGTTACCCCTCCCCCCCCCAAAAAAAAAAAACCCTAATGTACCAACATTTGCACTTGTTCATTCATTAAAGACTGAAGTAGACCCAGAGGTAGACTGCCTTGCCTGCCGTCGCAGAGGGAAGGAGAGAGGCTGACCTTGGGTCTGCACTTGAATCCTAATCCAGTAAACTCCTGGTCCATTGCTCTTAGAGAAGTCTGAGGTCCTGTCCTCCCTCTGGTTTGGAATAGCCTCTCCAGCCCTGTGTGTGTCGGGGGCTCTGTGCATAGTGGAACACTGCTCCAAGCTGGTCCTTAAGTTGGCTCAGCCCCAAGAGATTGATCTGGGTTTCAGCTCATCCCTGGTTTTCCAGAGGGCCATCAGAAGAACTAACTGCCCCATGGGAAGAGGTAACTTTCCTGAAGTGGGAGTAGGGGTAGCAGCCCCAAGCACTGAAGCTCATCTTTCTTTCTTTCCCCGTGCTGCCTTGGGCCTGGGTCATTTCAGACAAGCCTCAGGTAAGATGCCAGTGGGCCTCCTAGCYACTGCCCCACCCTCCTGGGTCCAGTCCCAGAGGAAGGGAAGAGGTGGGGGATCAGAGCTGGGATGGGAGTAGGGAGGGAAGAGGCTGGTGGACAGTTTGCCCCTGGCTGACCCCTGCCCTTCCTGCAGCTCTACACCCTCGCCGTGATGGGTCCAGGGCCACCAGATCGCCAGCCCGCCCAGATCTCTCGCCGCTACTCAGACTTTGAGCGGCTGCACCGAAATCTGCAGCGGCAATTCCGGGGCCCAATGGCTGCCATCTCCTTCCCCCGTAAGCGCCTGCGCCGGAATTTTACCGCAGAGACGATTGCCCGCCGTAGCAGAGCCTTTGAACAGTTTTTGGGCCACCTACAGGCGGTGCCTGAGCTACGCCATGCCCCAGACCTGCAGGACTTCTTCGTGCTGCCAGAGCTGCAGCGGGCACAGAGCCTCACCTGTACCGGCCTCTATCGTGAGGCCCTGGCGCTCTGGGCCAATGCCTGGCAGCTGCAGACCCAGCTGGATGCCCCCTCTGGCCCAGACCGTCCTCTGCTGACCCTGGCTGGGCTGGCTGTGTGCCACCAGGAGCTGGAGGACCCTGTGGAGGCCCGGGCCTGCTGTGAGAAGGCCCTGCAGCTGTTGGGAGAAAAGAGCCCCCATTCTTTCCTGGCACCCTTCCTGGAGGCCCATGTCMGGCTCTCCTGGCGCCTGGGCCTGGACAAACGCCACTCAGAGGCCCGGCTCCAGGCCCTGCAGGAAGCAGGCCTTACACCCACGCCACCCCCCAGTCTCAAAGAATTGCTCATCAAGGAGGTGCTGGGATAACCCTTGGCTAGTCTTAAAGCCACTGTGGGGAGAAGGGCTGCCCCAGGATTTGGGGGGGCAGGGGACTGAAGAGGAGRACATGGAAAGCAGCTAGAAGGCTGCGTACTGAGAGCCCTCAGAAGTTCCACAGAGAATTTGCAGTGGACGGAAGAAATGTTGTTGTTGAGATGGGCTCAGGACAAGCTTTGGCTGGGGGTTGGTACCCAGGGAATGGTACAAGGAGGAAGTCTGACACAGCCCCTCTAGCTTATTCACAGCCAGGGGCCATTGCCCAGGTCAGGATTAATGTGTTCTTTTCCATGGGCCTCTAAGCCATCAAGTCAGCCTGACTGAAGTCTTGCAGTTGAGAGCCAGAAGAAGGGCTGTAGTTTTGGCCCAGGGAAATTAAAGGCCAGCCACTCCAATGGTGTCAGTCTCTTTATTAAGTGTGAGGGGCAGAAGGTCCAGCCCTCCACATAGCCCCACCTCAGGAATGGTGGTAGAAGGGAGATCCTTGAAGACCTAGGCAAGCTGATACCTCTGGCTACAGCTTGCTCTCTGAGACTCGGGGCTTTACTCGGATGACGCCTTCCTGGGCACAGGACACAGCCAGGACCCCATCCCGACGCCACAGCCGCCCGTGGACTAGCCCCCGAGAGCCACCTGTGGGTGAGGAGAGGGGTGAAAACAGCCTTCTTTGCTCTAGCGCAGCCAAACGCACGTCTTGCAAAGGGTTTGGGCAGAAMAAGGCTACCCCACAGGAGGGCACACTGAATGTTGTGACTGCTCCAAGTGTCCCTTTCTGAGCCTATTATGGGCAGTCACTGGGGTTCTCCTACAAGAGAAACTCCACCTGATGTCTAAAAACACTTTCACATGTCCCTGCTCTTCTGCAAAAAGATCAGCAGGGGAGGMGCTCTGGGAAGTCTCCCATAGCTTGGCCAAGCAGATGCGGCAGCCCTGGCTGCTGTGCGAGGAAACCCGCTGGTTCCTTTTATAATAACCATGCCAAGTCTTCCGCACCGTAGTTCATGAGAAACCACCAGCACTGCCCCCGCCAGTGGGAAGACGCCGAGGGGAGACGACCTGGAATCTTCTGGTCCCACCTCTCCCTGCCCAGAGGCTTTCACCTTGTTGGTTTTGGGCCTTAGTTTCATGTTCATGAACAGAACTGCTGGTTTCCTACAAACACAGCAGAGTTCACAATAGAGAAATGAAATTGCCTTCACTTGTTCCATTTTTCTGACAATGATGCTCAAGTCCAAAGAGGCTAGGGAACCTGGCCCCAGGAGCAGGCCAATCCTGAACGCAGGTGTCCTAACATTAAGGTCATTTTTTTTTCTTTTTTTTCAGTGCTGGGGATTGAACCCAGAGTCTCAGGCATGTCAGGCTAGTGCTCTACCACTGAACCACATCCCCAGCCCTCAAGGTGGTTAATCATGTACTAAGATGCCACTGGTCCTTGAGAGAACCCCTCCCCAGAAGGTAGAGAGTTCCTGAGCTTTGCCCCTGTTTATAAAGCAGAGCTTTTCTTCATCTAAAATGTATTTCATTGGGAAGGAAGCCACTGTTCTGAAGCTAGACACTGCATAGGGGTTCTCTCCTTCCCTACAGGGAATGTCCAAGTAGTGAGGCCCTTAGAGACCCTAAGTACCCTGACCCCCAACCATCAATCAACAGAATTACTTAGGAGGCTTATTAAAAATTCACTTTCCTGGCTAGGTGTAGTGGTGCACGCCTGTAATCCCAGCAGTTTGGGAGGCTAAGATAGGAGGACTGTGAGTTCAGAGCCAGCCTCAGCAACAGCAAGATGCTAACCAACTCAGTGAGACCCTGTCCTAAATAAAATAAAGTAAGGCTGGGGATGTGGCTCAGTGGTTGAGTGCTCCTGAGTCCAATTCCCAGTACCAAAAATTCAGTTTCCTGGACCTTATCTAAGACCTGCTGGGTCAGAATCTTGGTAGAATTAGAGTCTATTTTTAAAAAGCTCCCCCTCAAGCAGCAATCTGATGGGTCACCACTGATCTAATGTGTGGAATAATCTGTTTAGATGGGGAAACTGAGGCTCACAGGAGAGACAGGATTTATCCCAGTTCATACAAAGAATCTGAAGTGGTCTGGGGACTAGAACTGAGTCTCTGGGACAAAGTGAATCCTAGTCCCAACATGTTACAGAAAGTGTGAGCTGACACTTGCTTACTCTGCCATTTTGAAGATGAATAGCCCAAACCTGGAGGGGCAGGAGAGGAAGTGACCCGTGCAGTGTCCCCCTGGAATTGGGGAGGAGAGAGCACCACCCAAGAAAGCAGGAGCCCTACCACCCCAAAGTTGGTGCCCTGGTCCCACATGGCCCACACTCACCGGCCCAGGGGCTCTCGCACTCATACAGCATCCAGTGGTCGGCTCGGAAGGGGGCATGGAACCACATAGAGTGGTCCAGAGAGACCGTGAAGTGCACCTTATGTTTCCACTGGTGGGGCAGCAGTGCCGTGCCCAGGAAAGCATAGTCTGAGATATAAGCGGCCACGCAGCAGTGCATCTTGATGTCGCCCTCCCCTGCAACAGGTTCCAGCCCCATCAGCCCTGGGATCCTGGGCTTTTCAGCTCAGGACCTGCAGGGAGGTGGGAGAAAAGGGGGCTTCCAGGCACAGCTGTGTAGGCTGGTCACTGCACCTGGCCCATGGTGTGTGTGTGTGTGTAAGGATAAAGGAGGTGGAGATGGAGGAGGGTGGGAGCAAGCAAGGACTAAAATCCAGTCTTCCCAAGTCTCCCGCTTTGAGTCCTGGAAGGGACATCTTCCAGTGTGCACAAAGGCACCTTATGGTTAACAGATCTATAAGAACCTCAACAAGTCGTCTTGCCTTCTCCAGAAAGGTCCTACAATGAAATTCCAGTGACAAACCCATTCTCCCCATCATGCAGATAAGGAAACCAGCCCAGAGATGGGAAGTAACATACCCAAAGCCACACAGGACAAATAAATGGCAGGCCTAGACCCCTGGAGAGTATTTTCCTCCAATCCATGGGTCCTCTTACCGATATAGCCCCGGGCTCGCACCCAGAACATCTGTTTGGGCTCCATTCTCTGCAGCTGGCTCAGGGTGGGTGGATTTACCAGCTTGATCTCAATGGGTACCTCCTGGGCAGCAATTCGGTTCAGCCCCACTCGGTACTTCTCTTTGAGGTTAGGGTCCCTGAAAGTAAAGGAGAGGGACAGGAAGACCCAAGGAGACAGGGATCTCCTTCTATGCTGCCCCTTCTGATGGCCCTCATGCTTCCAACAGAGACTCCTAATTTATCCCTACGCCTCTCTTTCCCAGGTGGTAGGCAAGATACTAGATTCTGGAACCCTTCCCTTCCACTTAAGAGTCATGTGTAATCTCTGCCAGTTAGTAATCTCTGTGGCTATCTTCTTATCTGCAAAATGTGATTAATTGATAGTAACCTATCATAGGGAACACTGGAAAAAACCCGATGATGTATATAAAACCAGGTCTCACTATAGCAAGGCCATACCCTTCAAAACAGAATTCCAAGCAGGACACATAAAACTCATTCCTCCTGAGACAGTACCGTAGTCACTCTTATGTGATAAATGACATAAGCACAGAGAATCCACATAACTCACTCAGAGAGTGGTGAAGGCAGGATATGAGCTCAAGCAGGCTGCTTCCATGGCTCATACACTTAAACTTACTCTAAACAGTTAAGAAATGAGCTGCCTGACTTGGACCCAGTTACCTAACCCTGAACAGCAGGAAGCCTCATATCCCTTGGAGGAGGTGCCCATCTCTAGGGACACCCTTCAGCACAGAAACAATGACCTTCAGGGCTCTTTGTAGGCACTGCCATGTTCACCCCATCCTCTGGGGCGCTCTCCAGCTGAACTTTCAGTGATGAGGGAATGTTTATCTGTGCCGTCCACTCTGACAGCCACTTGCTACATGTGATTATGAGTGCTTGAATGTGGCTAATGTAATTGAGGAACAGACTTGTCACTTCTATTTTAGTTGGTTTAATATAGCCACACGTGGCTAGTGGCTACCTTACTGAAAAGCACAACTCTAAATTCAGGGTCCTTTAATAACATTTCAGCAAACATTTGTTGAGTTCCAACCACACACCAGGCCTCTGGCTTATTCCTAATAAGAGTGGTATAAACACAATTTATAACTCACCACATGCCTTAGATCTCTTACCTCATTTCATCCTCATAACAGTCTCATGAGGTAGGAATTATGATTAGCACCACTTTATAACTCAGCATACAGGCTCAGAGTAAGCAAACAACTTGCCCAAAATCACAGCTACTAGGGACAGAGTCTAGATTTTAATTCTGACCATTAGGCTCCCAGACCTCAATCATCCCACACACCAGGTTACAAAATAGAGAAGCTCTTTCCCTGCTACCTGGGAAGCAGGTAGTGCATAAATGACCATTCTCGGTTTTTAGGCCTTGAGAGGCTCCATAGTTCCACAAAGTCCCACAGTCGGTGATCACCAGCAGGCATGGCCTGGCCAGAATGTGTGCGCCCTATGTCTAGACTCAGTGCTCTTTCCCATGCACCAGCATTTTTCAAACTTTACTAGCTTTGCTCCAAATAAGAAATATAGTCAAAATATTTAACATGCACTAAGGCAAAGGTAGTGACCAATGAGTGAACCATAGCTCTGCACCAGAGTCCTAGAGGACACTCATCCTTACCAGGCATGAACTCCAAAGCTGCTGAATCAAGCACCTGAATGGGAAGAGGGACCACTCAGGGGACTGGGGAGGTGGCTATTTACCAGGTGGTAAAGTAGTTCAGTGTTTTAACAACCAGGAAAGCTGCAATAGTGCCTGCACTCCCTGAGCACAGGCTCTGTGTCTTATGTCATGACCCAGCACACACACACATGCTTATCTGCTCATACAAAGCAGAAACACACAATGGAAAAAGTTTCACAAAAGGATTCTTCACCTCATTACATACTAGACACTGCAGTATCTTCTAGGTTTTTTGTTTGTTTGTTTTGGTGCTAGGAATTGAATCCATTAGGCTTTACCATTGAATTACATCCCTAGTCCCTTTAATTTTTTATTTTGAGACAGCATCTCACAAGTTGCTGAGGCTGGACTTGAACTTGTGATTCTCTTGTCTCAGCCACCTGAGTTGCTGGGATTGCAGGTGTGAGTCATCATGCCTGGCTCTAGTTTATTAAAATAATAATAATTACATATATGTATGTATATACTATATGTATGTATATCTATATCTATCTATCTATCTCTCTA